ACAGGCATATTTGTAGGCAGTAGGGAAGAAGCAAGTAGACAAGGAGAGATTGAAAATGAGTGAGAGAGTGGGTTTGACAGAAAGGGTCAATCTGTTGGAGGACATGGGGTGGTATAGTGAAATTGCAGTCCACTAAAACCCACAAATCTTCTCAGATAATCACGTCTAACTATGCTTTCTGCATCTTGCACTTGTTTAACTGATATTTTTAACCTAGGTATACAATTTTACTTTCTTACATATATTACATTCTACTTTATTAGGTTCAGCCCAATGACCTCTCAATATTTTGGGGGGGATCTTGACCCTATCATCCACTACATCCCTCTCAGCTTTGAGACATATGCAAATGTTATATGTATACTGTCCACACAAACTCACAGGGCCTTCTTCAGCTCTCCAGTGGCTGTCCCTAGGAACAAAAGCAGCCAGGCACCTCCAACCTCAAACGGAGGGACTCTTTCAGTGCACTTCACCCACCCTGCCACATTCCTAACAAGAATTCCCAGACCTTATCTCTGATGCTCCTATCTTTTGTAAGGTAGGCTTCGCAGGGAGGGAAAGTGAAGGGAACAATCATTTCTTAAGCACCTACTATATGCCAGGCATTATTTTAAGCCCTTTAACTCATTTTATGTTCTAGGCCATCATAGGATACAACATCACTACCTGCCATGAAGTTAGCCCTCAAGGGAGAAACTCAGTCAGTAATCACTTGCATTCCTCAGGGCTTCTCTATAAGTGCTGATACTCTGTTTGCACTCATTGCTGAATAGTTTGCATAGTCCTACCCCCTTAAACTTTTCTCATCTATGTGATTATGAACCTCTCGTTGCCATACTCAAGTCCCATTCCCCTTCACTACCTGCCTGCCTCTTTTCTCCCATCTACCTCAACTCCACCCTGCATCATCACTCCAGATCGTTGCACTTATACTCTCTCCTAATGTCCCCTCTGAATGGCATAGTCTATAATTGGCAAACTTCCTTCCATCCCAAACCTTTTTATTGCTCACTCTGTTCTTCTCCCAGTGCTCACTAAGATCTAGCTCTCCTTCTGACAAGGCATTCCTGGCCACCCTTTGTACTTTCATTGATATGCCCTGATTCACTCACTGGTCACTGGATGGGAGTTGGATTTGTTTTTACTTCCCATTGCCATATTCAAATATTATTTCTATAACCATCATTCAACATTTCCTCCTTTGAGGTTTATGTTATAGAAGAAATTTATCACCCAATCCAGACCCTTATGGCCATTATCTATTGACCCCAAAATCATGCTCCTTCCATTCTCAATGAATTCAATGCCTAACTTACAGTCCTTTTGTCCACCTCAAATCCTGCCCTACATTAAGGGGCTTCCAATAGCCTAACTTCCTAGTTCATTATACTCAATTTCCATAACCTATTCCTTCTTGTCACTTTAACTACACATCCTAGATCTTGTCACCACCCCCAATGGTTTTATATCAATGTTCATGAACTCCAAAATTTATTTATATGATCATAATATGTTGTCATACCATCTTTACCTTTCCCTATGCCTTACAACCCCTAACTCTGTTCTTTGTCCTCGCTGTGATCTCCACTCCCTCTATCCTTTGCCAGCCCCATTATCCCTTCACAGACTATGCTCTCCTCCTTTCCCTATCCTTTCTCTTGGTGAACCAGCTGACATCTACACCGGAAGTATCAAACACAAAACCTGCTGCTGCATGCAGCCTGAAGTACTCCCAAGTGTATCCCAAATCAAATTAAAATGTAATTGGTAAATATTTAGCAAAATAAATAAAAATGAAATAAAGCAGAGATAACATTACATTTTAAAACTGTCAATACATGACCTGTAGAATTCCTTATGTATGCTTTAGTGGCCCCCATTGCTATCTGAATTGGTCAGAACTGCTCTATGCTGTCCTCTATTCTTGAATCCTTTGACCCCATATCCTATCGTGACACACCAATCCTGGATTACTCCCACAGTCCACCTCCTTCACTCCTATTCTTGTGCTTCTAACGGAACTAGAGAAAAATCACAAAACTGCTCAATGGGTCCACTACAAACTTACGTAATCTCAACTGGGTCTTCACTGAAACAAGACAATCATTCTACTCCTCCCCAATTTATTCACTATCCCACTTACCACTATGGTTATTCTAAAACTTTTTTATCCCTCCTCCAACTTCCTACCACATCTCCTGCTCTCATCCTCTCTGCTGAGGACCTTGACTCTACTGGAAAAAAAAATTGAGGTCATTTCTCAAGAGCTTCCTCTTTTCCCCTCCTCATACCACATAACTTGGACATTTTCCCCTATTTCCTCCCTGTCTCTGATCAAGAAGTAGTGCCTTTTCAAGGCAAACCCTTTTACATAGCATCTTTGATGCCACCTCCCCCATCTTTTCCGGTAGATTTCCCCCACTAACATTCCTACTCCTTCTCAGTCTCCAGTGCTGGATCTTTACCCATGTCATGACTATTAACCATGGTTGTCCCCCAAGGCTCTCTTCTCCCTCTATAGCTATCTCCCTTGGTGATTTCATCAGTTCCTATGAGATCAATTATTATCTTTATGCACATGATTTCCAGATCTATATATCCATCCAAGTCTCTCTCCTGAGCTCTAGTCCTGTGTTTCCAACTGTCTTTTGGACATCTCAAACAAAATGTCTGGTAGACATGTCAAATTTAACATGTCTAAAACAAAACTCATTATCTTTTCCCCTAACACCTATCCTTCTTCTTAATTCCCTATTTCTGTCAAAAGGACTACCATCCTTTTAGTCAGGTATCCAAATTCAGCATCATCCTTGACTCTTCAGTATCTCACTTATATTGAATAATATGACAAACAAAATGACAAATCATGATGATTTTACCTCCTCATTTCTCACATCTATATCCACAAAGCTATCATCTCTTACCCCTAATCTTATATTGAATAATATGACAAATAAAATGACAAATCATGATGATTTTACCTCCTCATTTCTCACATCTATATCCACAAAGCTATCATCTCTTACCCCTAATCACCTCTATCTTGTGCTACTAACTGTTGCAGTAACCTCCTAATTGGTCTCCTAGCCTCCAGGCTCTTTCTTCTCCAGTCTTTTACCAACACAGCTGCTATATTGGTATTCCTAAACAAACAAACAAACAAACAAACAAAAACCCACTTCCATTGGCTTGCTGTTGCCTCTTGGATAAAATGCAAATGCTTCTCCTTGTGATATAAAACTCTTCCCACTCTGGCTCCAATATCTCAGATTTACTTCATATGGTGTCATCATTTTATTTCTCTTCATTTGTCTTCTCCCTTTTTCTTCTTTCTCCTTCTCTTTCCCTATGCCATTCTTTCTCCCTTCTCTCTCTATTACCTTCCTCAGATATCTATCTTTCAAAAACCAAGAATTGCCCCAGACTATGAAATAAAACTATGAAATAAAATTTGTCTTCCAAAATTCCTGCCTTCACTTTTAATGTTCCCCCACTTCTAATGTCCCACAATTCTTTTTCCAACAGTGCCCAGCATCCTATTACCTTAGACCTTCAATCCCTAACCTGTTCTACTCTTCTACTCATTCATCCCTAACTACCTACACTGCTATATTCCTTCTGCTACTCAGTAATATTTACCAGCACTTCACCCTCTCCAGTCTGCAACTAATCTAATCAATTAGTCCATGCTAATTTGCTGATAAGAGTCTCTGGGCAACAGATACATTTTTTACTATGACCTTTGAAGTGCCTACACCTTCACTGATTCAAAAACAACTCAAAGAGTGAGAATTTCAAATCAGATAGAATACGAAAACTGCACACATCAGGAAAGGACAGGTAGGGGAAAGTGTTCCCTTCAGTCATACACATTTGCCCACTCCTGTCTGAGCTTGATGAGCCAATGAGTAGGTAAAACTCATCTAACAAATTATATCTAACTAGGCCCAGCCCACAGTTCACTTCCATCTACCCAGACTTCTTAGAACATTTTCCATCTGCCATGGCATTATATGTACGCTATCTAACTCTTGTGCTGAGAACAGTAATCAAACCTAAATCAATACTATCATCACTTCTGGAAGGGTATGACTGTTGACCGTCCTATGGCTCTACTCCCATTCCTGTTACTCCTCAGATAAAAATTCCTTTTCTTGGTCACAGTTCCCATATATGGGTTATGTCCTCTGCATTTCACAAAGTCCTTGAAACCTTCTCACCCTGGAACTTTCGTTCCAAACCTCTGTGGTCTTCTTGCCCTGGAAGATCTCTCTGCCCCTGTGACCTCTGATTGGAAAGTACCCAGGCCAGCCATGTTCCCTCCCTTGTTCCTCTCCAAGCTCTGCTCTTACTCTGTGGACTTCTTTTTCCATTCTGCCTCTGAGCTAGTGCCTTCTGCCTCCTCCTCCTTTTTATGTGTTGCCTTCCTCTACTATAATGTAATCTCATTGAGGGCAGGGACTATCTTTTTGCTTATATTTGTATTCCCAGCACTTAGTATAATACCTAGCACACAGTAAGTTTTTAATAAATACTTGCTGACTTCACTTGACTCTAAGATCCCTTTCACCTCTAAATTTGTGATCCTATTAAAAATATTCTCTATTCCCCACTTCCTACAAAAAAAATATTGTTCTTTGAGTGAAACCCCTAGTCTGTCTTTTACTTATATATCTAAGCATGTATCCCAAAATGGAAAAGAACGAGAAACATTGTAGTCAGATAAAGTCACAATCTGAGAAATTATGATTTCATGCTCACCACATATGACATTCAAGATTAAAATACCAACAACAATGCCTTGGGCTTGCCTCGTGCTTTCTCCCAAAGGCCTAAACTTATTGTTCAGCAATTGGGAATGGCTAAACCACTGACATTTAAAATCAAATTTGCCCTCACCATTTCTATATGATGATGTATATGTATGTGTGTATGTATGTATACACACATATATATGTTGAATATTAATATATATTTTATATACTCACTTTTTATAGATGGAAAATAAAGAAGGCAGGTAAATTGACCCAAGCTCACATGACAGAGATGGAATCCAGATCTCCAGATTACCAATGCCGTCATTTCCACACTAATCTCCATGGCCTTGAGAGTCAAGGTCAGTACTCCATTAACTGTACACCATTCTGTTCCTCAAGATCAATTTCCTATCTAATCAATCAATCCACAAGCATTTATTTAGCACTTATTATGTTTAAGGCATAGTTCTAGGCACTGGGAATACAAGAACTAAGAAAGAAACTGTCCATCCCTTTTCTCAAGAAGCATACATTCTAATGAGAGAGACAAGTATGTAGGCACATATGTATATGTATGTATATATGTATATTTATATACATACATACATATATGTATGTATGTGTGTATACAGCACAAACAAGTGAATACATACAAATAAATCCAAAGTGATTACATGTAAGGTAATTCGGGAGCAAGGACACCAGCAACTGAGAGAATCAGGAAAGGCTTCATGCAGAAGATGATGATTTAGTTGCTTATCAAAGAGGGATTCTATAAAGTAGAGGTGAAGAGCAAGTATATTCTGGGCATGTAAGATGGCTAGAATAATAATAATAATATTATAATAATAAGCATTTATATAGCAATAAAAGGTTTCCAAAATATTTCATATACTTTTTCTCATTAGATTCTCACAACCCTGTGATATAGGTGATATTATTATCCTTATTTTCTAGATAGAGAAACTGAGACTCAGACAGGTTAGGTGACTTGCCCAGAGTCACACATCTAGTAAGTATCTAATGCAAGATTTGAACCAAAGTCTTCCTGATTCTTAGTCTGACAGCCCAGAGATGGCATATGGAGTGCTAGTATGAGGAACAGTGAGAAGTCCAGTTTGGTTTGCATTGCAGAGTTCAGGATGGTGAGTAAAGTCCAATGAGGCTGGAAAGAGAGTGTGAGACCCAGTTGTGTAGGACTTTGAAGGCTTAACAGAGGAGTAAACATTTTATCTCAGAACCAAGTCACTCAAGTTGATTGAGTGGAGGAGTGCTATGGTCAGATTTTCAATTAAGGAAAATTGCTTTTGCAGCCATTAGTAGAATTGACCAGAATAGTAAGAGACTTGAGTAGGTGAGACCAATCAGGAAGCTTTTGCAATGACCTAAGTGAAAGTGCCAGCCTGAAATAAGGTGTCAACTATGGGAGTAGAAAGAAGGAGTCACACACTAGAGATGTTGTAGAGTAGAAATGGTAAGATTTAGCAACTGATCACATATGTGATCAGAGGGAGTGAGAAGTGAAGGATAATGCCAAGATTATGAAAGTTAGAGGATTGGAAAGATGGTGGTGGCTTCAGAAAAAATAGGGAAGTTTGGAAGGGGGAACAGTTTGAGGGGAAAGATAGTTTAGTTCTGGGCATGCTGAGTTTGAGATGTCTCCAAGATACTCATTCTTTGTTTCTTTTGGCTAGGCAATGAGGTGAAGTGACTTGCCCAGGGTCACACAGTTAGTAAGTGTTATATGTCTGAGACCAGATTTGAACTCAGTCCTCCTGAATCCAGGGCCAGTTCTCTATCCACTGTGCCACCTAGCTGCCCCCCAGGATACCCATTCTTAAATATCCAATGGGCCACTGATGATACAGGAATGAAGATCAAGGGAGAGACTGGGGCTGGATATGAAGATTGGTGGGTTATATGCATAGAGATGACAGGGAGCTGATGAGGTTGCTGAGAGAAAATGTAGACAAAGAAGAGGAGCCAGTTCTAAAATGTTTATAGCAGCTCTCTTTTTGGTGGCAAAGAACTGGAAATTTCAAGGATGCCCATCAGTTGGAAAATGGCCTGAACTAGTTGTGGTATACGAGCATGATGGAATACTATTGTGCTATAAGAAATAATGAGCTCGATGATCTTAGAAAAATATGGATAGATTTGCATGAAATAACAAGGAGTGAAATGAGCAGAACCAAGAGAATATTGTATATAGTATCAGCAATACTGTTTTAAGAACAACTTTGAACAAATAAGTCATTTTGACTGTTATAAATACCCAAATTAACTACAAAGGACATATAAAAGAAGATACTATCTGCATGCAGAGAAAGAACTGATAAATAGTAGTATGTATAAAATGATTTTACATATATATGTATGTATACACTTATACATACATCATTTAAAAATAAGTACATACTATACATACTAAATATACTAAAAATACTTAAAAAGAATAGCAAGTTGTACATAATAGATTGCAGTTTCATGGGCATTTTTAATTATGTTATGAAAATGCTTGTTTTATTCCATAAATCAAAAATTTTTTTTTAATTTTAAAAGAAGGGCCAGGATAGAACTTGGGGGAATACTCACATTTTAGGGACATGATATAGATGATGAGGCAACAAAGTGAATAGAGAAGGAGCAGACAGGTAAAAGAAGTAGAATGTCATCAAAATCCAGAAAGGAGAGAGGGTCCAGGAGGAGAAATTGGTCAACAGAATCAAATGCAGCAGATAGGTTGAGAAGGATAAAGACTGAGAAAAGATCAGCAGATTTGTCAATTAAGACATTTTGGTGGCTTTAGAGAGAACAGTTTCAATTAAGTTATAAGAAAGCCAGACTACAAAGGGTTGAAGAGTGGGTGAAGAAAGAGACAGTGGAGGCAGCATAGATGGCTTTTTTAAAAATAGATTTTTATTAATATCTTTTGGTTTTCTTTGCCTAGATTTTTCCCTGTATCTCCCCCTCCCCACCCCAAGAGAGTTATCCCTTATAGTAAAAGATTTTTTAAATGAATATGAGGAAGAAGATAACATTCAACAAAGCCAAATAATACATCAAGGGGAAAACTGATATAATATACAGTGTTCTGCACCCAAGGAACACCCTTTTCCCCCACTTCTTCAAAGGAGCAAGAGAAAGTTAAGACAGCTTTTTCCAGCACCACTGGCAAGTGATTACTTCAGCAGTCATTGTAAGAAATACCAGTTACTCACTCATTCTAATAATCTGTTTAATGTCAAGACTATTCTCAATTCATATTAAGCTAATCAACTCTTCATTTCATTAAGCGATGAGTCATCATAAAAGAGTGAAAATAGGCTTGAATAAAGAACCAGAAGACCTGTTATCTAGTCCAGTCTTTGCTAGCCAGTATAGGACATTGGATAATGATCTACAAGGTCACAGAATTGAGAACCTGCAGAGAAGGGAAAGGAGCTCTGATATCACAGAGTCCATTTCCTCACCAAATCATAAAACTTCTCTGGGCCTTGGCTTCCTTATCTCTAAAGTGAGGCATCAGAACAGAATGACCTCTAAGGTCCTTTCCTGATCCAAACTTCTATACAATGTATTCTATTCATCAGAATCCAGCAAAAACAATAGCAATTTCTTTCTGGGTTCCCAAATTCAAATTCCTGCTTTTTTCCATCTTCCTTCTCTTTTCTGGAGCATCACATGATTACCGTTGAACTTCCCCTCTGCCGCAAAAAAAAAAAACTGTTTTCCTATTCTTTGTCTGTTCTTAGCTTCTGGTGAGGATAGGTCTAAATGTTTGACCATTTTTAATATCTAAAAACTTAAATTCCCAGTTTTGTCCCCATCTCTACTCCAGGCAAAGAGATAGGAATTCCTATTTGGAAAAAGGGGAAAGTGCTTCTGATGGTTGTAACATCCTTCTTCTCCAGGATTTTGCTTGGAGCATCAACCTCTGTCTTTGAAACCTAAACCCAAATAAACAGGAAGCAAAAGGGTTCTCTGCTCCAAGCCTAAGAAGCTTGTGTCTCTCAGAAGGCAGAGAGGAGGCTCAAGTGCTATGTGAAGCTCTCTATACTAGGCAGGAGAATTATACCGAGAATAAAATCATCTTACACTTAAGCTGAAATCATAGAGCTTGGCATTGGCTGTCATGTTTTGTGATTCATCATAGTAAAATTTTCTTTATTTGCAATGTGGCAGACAACCACATAGCATTTTACTCATAGCAACCTTAAGGGGTAGGTCTTATATTATTACTCTCTTGTATTACAGATAAGGAAACTCATAAAGGTTAAGTGACTTGCCCAAGGTCAGCCAGTTGGTAAGAGTTAAAGCTGGCAATTTTGCTTGCTGTCAGCAAGCAAATCTTCTAACTCCCAGTCCAGCATTCTTTCCACTACACCATACCTCTCAAGTAGTAGAGGAGGTAATTCTAAACCCAAAGGTCTGTTCCACTCCTAAATCCATTATTTTTGTTGTTGTTGAGGTAATCAGAGTTAAGTGACTTGCCCAAGGTCACACTGCTAGTAAGTGACTGAGGCTGGATTTAAACTCAGGTCCTCCTAAATCCAGGGTAGGTGCTCTATTCACTGTGCCACCTAGCTGCCCCTCCTTAACCCATTCTTAAAAGCAAGATAACTGTGTCCTGTGTCCTAAGGCTTGTTGTTCAGTCATTTCAGTCACTCTTTGTGACCCCATTTTGGGGGTTTTCTTGGTAAAGATACCAGAGTGGTTTTGCCAGTTCTTTCTCCAGTTCATTTTACAAATAAGGAGACTGAGGGAAACAGGGTTAAATGATTTCCCCGGGGTCACACAGCTAGCAAGTGTCTGAGGACAGATTTGAACTCAGGAAGATGAGTTTTCCTGACTCCAGGCCTGGCACTCTATTCACTGCACCACCTAGCTGCCCCTAAAGATATATTGTCTTAAGACAGCTAAGCAAGTTATTGGAAGTTTTGCCATATTACTAGGCATATTACCCATGCTGGGAAAATGGCAATTGTTGAAGTAAATCAGAAAGCACTTGACTTCTTAGATCCTTGCAGTTTCCCTTTTCTGACTGGTCTCTAACTCTTCCATCTTTCTCAAATGACGACTTTCTTCTTTAACAGGAGCAAGTAAGCAGATTTCTGACGACCTCCACTTCACAGTAGCTCCTGCCAAACTCTTCTGTCTGATAAATTCTCTCTCCCTCAGGGAGACTTAGGCTGTGGACCTCTGTTTTTGCTGTTTCCTCAATATATTGCACTTTAAAGTAGGGGCTTAGTTTGCTAATCTAGTGGTGGCCATCCTTGGTTTATTCAATTAGAGAAGATCTCCAGCTTTTCAAGGCTTACATTTCACAGCTCCAGTCATTCAAAGCTGTGTA